ATGTATCCCATTTACTGATTTGCATATGTTGAACCACCCCTATATGCCAAAGATAAATCCCACTTCATCTGGGTGAATGATCTTTCTGATATGTTGTTGAATTTAATTAACTAGTATTTTGTTGAGGATTTTTGCATCTATGTATTGTGAATATTGGTCTATAAATCTTTTCTGTGTTGTATTTTTTTCTTGTTTTTGTATTAAGGTTATGCTGGCCTCATACAAAGAGTTTTTGAGGATTCCTTTCCTTTTAATTGTTTTGAATAGTTTGTGAAGAATTGAAATCAGTTCTTTAAATGTCTGGTAGAATTCAGTAGAGAAACCATCTGGTCCCAGGCTTTTCTATGTTGGGGGGTTCTTTATTATTATATCAATCTCTGTCTTTGTTATTGGTCTGTTAAAGTATTCTACATCTTCGTGACTCAATTTTGGTAGATTTTATGTATTCTAAAATCTATTGATTTCTTCTAGATTTTCTTCTAAGTAGCTGTTTGTAATAACTCTGATGATTCTTTTAATTTCTTTGCTATGCATTATAACATCTCTTTTTTCATCTCTGATTTTACTAATTTGGGTATTCTTTCCCCTGTTTTTTAGGAAGTAGTTGGATCAATGGTGTACCAATATTTTTTTTTCAAAAAAAATAGCTCCTCATTTCTTCAGTATTTTGTATCTTTTCTTGGTTTGATTTTGTTTATTTCTTTTCTAATTATAACTTTTTCCTTCCTCCTAATAGCTTTGGGTTTGGTTTGTTCTTATTTTTCTAGGGCCTTAAGTTGCATGTTTAGATCATTTACCTGATGCCTTTCCAATTTCTTGATGTAGAAATTAATTGCTATAAACCTCCCTCCTAGCATTTCTTGTGCTGTATCTCATAAGTGATGATAATGTATGTTATTATATTCATTAATTTTCAGAAATTTTTTGATTTCGATTTTTATTTCTTCTATGACCCACTGATCATTCAGGAGCATGCTTTTCAGTCTCCATGTGTTTGAATGTTTTCTAGAGATTCTTAAGTTGTTATTTTCCAGCTTCATTTCATTGTGGTCAGTAAAGATACATGGCTTTATTTTAATTTTTTTGAATTTACCAAGACTTGCTTAATGTCCTAGCAAATGATTTACCCTTAGAAATTTCCATTCACTGTTGAAAAGAAAGTATATTCTTCAACTGCGAGATGAAATGTTCCCAGTTAGGTCCATTTGGTCTATAGTGTAGATTAGCTGTGTTGCTTCTTTGTTGATTTTCTCTAGTTTATCTGTCCAATGATGAAAGTGGGCCAGCTACCCTGGCATTTTGTGCATATAGATTTATTATCGTCACATCTTCCTGTTTAATGGATCTATTAATAATTACATATGCAAGGTCCAGTGCTATGGTATAGTAGGTTAAGTATCTGCCTGCAATTCCAGCATCCCATATGGGTGCCAGTTTGAGTCCCGGCTGTTCCACTTCCAATCCAGCTCCCAGGTAATGGCCTGGGACAGCAGCAGAAGATGGCTCAAGTGGTTGGGCCCTTGTTCCTATGTGGGAGACTGAGAAGAAGCTCCTGACTCCTGGCTTTGGATTAACCCAGCTCTGGCTGTTATGGCTACTGGGGAGTGAACCAGAGGAGGGGAGACCTTTCTGTCTCTCTCTGTAACTACACCTCTCTCTAACTATGCCTCTAAAGTAAATAAATAAATCTTTTTAAAAAATTATATATGTCCTTCTTTGTCTTTTTCAATAGTTTTTATGTTAGAGTCTATTTTTTTTTCTGATCTTAGGATGGTTACTACTCTTGCTTCTTTTTGTTTTCCATTAGATTGGGTATCTTTTTCCATCCTTTTACTTTAATTCTGCCTGTATTTTTGTTGTGAGGTGTGTTTCTTGCAGAAAGAAAGTAGATGGGTTTGTTTTTTAATGCATTCAGCAAGTATGTGTCTTTTAATTGGAATATTTAGCCATTTAAGTTTGAGTTTGCTATTAATAAGTAACTACTTGGCCCTGACTTTTTCCCATAAATATTCCTATTGTATTTTGGGGGTGGATTTCCTTTATACTTTTACTAGGAGTTTTTCTCCCTTCACATTATTTCGTAATGATGACTATCTTCCTGTGTTTCTGTGTGTAGCACATCCTTAAGCATAATTTCTAATGCTGGGCAAGTGGTGATAAATTCTTTCAATTTCTGTTTGTTATGGAAGATCTTTATTTCACCTTCCTTCATTAATAAGAGCTTTGCAGGGTACAATATTCTGGGTTGACAGTTTTTTTTTTTCTTTTAAGACTTGGACTATGTCTCTCCATTATTTTCTAGCCTGTAGGGTTTCTGATGAGAAGTCAGCTGTGAGTCTAATTGGAGATCCTCTGAAAGTAGTCTGATGTTTCTCTTGTGCACATTTTAGAACCTTTTCTTTATGTTTTACTGTTGAAAGTTTGACTGTAACATGTTACATGGAGAAAATCTTTTCTGGTCATGTCTATTAGGAATTTAATGTGCTTCCTGGACTTGGATGTTCCTTTCTTTCTCCACATTAGGGGAGTTTTCTGTTATTATTTCACTGATTATGCCTTTGAATCTATTCTTTGATTCAACATCAGGTAAAACTTTTTTTAAAGATTATTTATTTATTTATTTGACAGGTAGAGTTATAGACAATGAGAGAGAGAGAGACAGAGAGAAAGGTCTTCCTTCCATTGGCTCACCCCCGAAATGGCCTCTGTGGCTGGTGCTGCACCGCTCTGAAGCCAGGAGCCAGGCACCTCCTCCTGGTCTCCCATGAGGGCGCAGGGGCCCAAGCACTTGGGCCATCCTCCACTGCCCTCCCGGGCCACATCAGAGAGCTGGACTGGAAGAGGAGCAACCGGGACTAGAACCCAGTGCCCATATGGGATGCTGGTGCTGCAGGCGGAGGATTAGCCAAATGAGCCATGATGCTGGGCCCAACTTCTGGTACTCCTAAGACCCATATGTTGGTCGATTGATAGTAAGCCATAAGTCTCAAACACTGTTTTAAATTTTTTTTAGAATTATTTATTTTATTTGAAAGTCAGAATTACATAGAGAGAGAAGGAGAGGCAGACAGAGAGAGATAAAGAGAGGTCTTCCATCCACTGGTTCACTCCCCAATTGGCTGCAATGGCCAGAGCCATGTATTGATCCAAAGCCAGAGCCAGGAGCTTCTTCCAGGTCTTCCATGCGGATTCAGGGGCCCAAAGATTTGGGCCATCTTTTACTGCTTTCCCAGGTCATAGAAGAGAGGTGGATCAGAAGTGGAGTTGCTGGGACTCGCACCAGTGCCCATATGGGATGCCAGCATTGCAGGTGCCGGCTTTACCTGCTATACCACAGCACCGATCCCTTTAATTTTTCTAATTTCCTTTTCTTTTATATAGTCTTACAGATATTTCCAAATATTTGTCTTCTAGCCAGATATACTTTCTTCTGAATCACCTAGTCTGTTGTTAAGGCTTTCCACTGTATTTTTAACATACTGAATTCTTCATATCTAATGTTTCAGTTTGATTTCTCTTCAAAATCTCTATCCCATGAGAACATGTTTGATCCATGTCATGTATGGATTTCTTTTTTATTTTTTTTATTTTTAACTTTTATTTAATGAATATAAATTTCCAAAGTACAGCTTATGGATTACAATGGCTTCCCCCCCATAACATCCCTCCCACTCCCAACCCTCCCCATTCCCACACCCTCTCCCCTTCCATTCACATCAAGATTCATTTTCGATTCTCTTTATATACAGAAGATAAGTTTAGCATACATTAAGTAAAGATTTCAACAGTTTGCTCCCACACAGAAACATAAAGTGAAAAATACTGTTTGAGTACTAGTTATAGCATTAAATCTCAATGTACAACACACTGAGGACAGAGATCCTACATGAGGAGTAAGTGCACAGTGACTCCTGTTGTTGACTTAACAAATTGACACTCTTGTTTATGGCCTCAGTAATCACCCTAGGCTCTTGTCATGAGCTGCCAAGGCTATGGAAGCCCCCTGAGTTCACTGACTCTGATCATATTTAGACAAGGCCATGGTCAAAGTGGAAGTTCTCTCCTCCCTTCAGAGAAAGGTACTTCCTTCTTTGATGACCCATTCTTTCCACTGGGATCTCACTAGCGGAGATCTTTCATTTAGTTTTTTTTTTTTTTTCCAGAGTGTCTTGGCTTTCCATGCCTGAAATACTCTCATGGGCTTTTCAGCCGGATCCACATGCCTTTAGGGCTGATTCTGAGGCCAGAGTGCTGTTTAGGACATCTGCCATTCTATGGGTCTGCTGTGTATCTCACTTCCCATGTATGGATTTCTTTAACTCATGAATTTTCTTCTTATTGCTTCTGATTAATCCTATGATCATTCATTTGAATTCCTTTTCAGGCATTTCATCAATCTTTGTCTTCTCAATCGAATGTTGAAGTGTTGTCATGTTCCTTTTGGGGAGTCATGCAGTCTTCCTTCTTCATGTTTTTCACATTTCTACATTTTTAAAAGACATTCTGGAAACATTAGTTGTTTTTCTCCACTGATGGGTTTTATCTTTGAACTATGCCTCTGTGGCTTAGTGTAGTGCCTGCTCCTCAATGAGTACCCAAAAGTGCGTGCTGAATGTGGCCAGGGACCTCTGGTCAGTGCTCAAAGGTGGGACTAGAATCCAGGGTGACAGTGAAGTTAGGCATTGTAAATTTATTGTCAGCAGTGGGAAGTGTCTGATCAGATCTGTTGCCATCATCACAACCACACTCTTTCAAGGTTATCAGTGCCCAAGATTAGCCTACCGAGGATACAACCTTCAACCACACTGGCTCATGAACTATACTACACAAAGGATCTGTGCAGACCTCAGCATGAGCTGGGAATCCCCTGCAATGACCCACCCCAGGCAGTTAGGGAGTTCCATTCCTCTGATTCCAGACATAGTGATTGCCCAGAAACCCAATTATACCCTATGTCCTATTATGCAGTCATAGAATTCCCACAGCAATAGCCTGCAAGGCTCCCACAGTCACAGGGTGCAGAGGATCCTCTCTCCAGCCTGTGATACTGCCCCATCTATGGAGAAAGTGGAAATGTTCCCAGAGTCAGCTTTCTGTGAGTGCTCCACCTTAGAGATTTGAGCCTGATAGGTTGAGAATATAGGAGCACCTCACAACCCTAAAGGAGTGCCCAGCCCCTGCCAACCCTCCCAGTCAGACTCAAAGTCAGCGGGAAATACAGATTTTTCCCTTTGATAAAATCCTGTGGTTACATATGCAAGAGCTGCTGCAACCTCTACTGGTGTCAAGATGGTACCTTCTCCTCCTCTGGTTGCCAGGTGCCCTTTTGGCGGGATGGGGAGAATGAAATGTGCTTTTCCTTCATTGGATTAGGTGGATCCTCTGCCACTGCTAGGACTCTAGGCTGGATACAGTCAGTGTGGTCTGTAAGTTTCTTCCTCATGCATTGTCACCTGTAGCATGTGCTGCTGCAGTCTGCTCTCACCTCACTCTCAGAACCTAGCATCTCCTCCAGCCCAGGGCTACAGGAATCCTGTGTGGTGTCCCTGTTTGCTACTTCACATCTGCAGTTTCCACAGTGCGACCCAGCATCACTCTTCTTTCTGTGGAATTTCCACTGCAAACTTCTCTCCTACTCTCCCTGTGGAATACACTTCCTCTGCTTTCCTTTTACTATCTTCCCATGCAAGTTGCTGGTTCTGGTTGGTGTGCAGTGCTCAATGCCCTCCCTCTATTAGTCAGTGATACTGTGTTCTTTAGGGAACGTTGATGATGGCAAAGTGGTCTTCAGTTAGACTGGGTGCTACCTGTAGGTGGTCGTTGCTCAGGGCCTGGAGTTTCTGGAAAAGAAGCTCCTCAAGACAAGATGGAACATGAAGATGGTACCTGTCTGCATGGAAATTCTGTGTGAGACAAGAACTGAGATCACTTTCATTGCTGCTTCCCTGTAATCCAAATTCTTATTTCTAAGCAGCAAACATGAAGGATCATTCCCAGAATTTATCAGTTACAGACATGCACCTCAACTAAATATGATTATCCATTTTGGAGATTTATAATCTTAGAAGCCATTGATACACAAAATGAGGACATTATATAATTGGATTTTTAAAAATTCATCCAATTGATTCAATTATATGTATAACAGAGAATTCTATTCTACATCCAAATAAAGCATTAGAGATGTAACCTCTGGAGCATTAATATGTAGACCATTATTTTAAAAATTATTTCTAAAATTTTAGTATTTTGAAAGCACTAACAGTTTTCTTCTTCTTTTTTTTTTTATTTGACAGATAGAGTGAGACAGTGAGAGAGAGAGAGAGAGAGAGAAAGGTCTTCCTTCCGTTGTTGATTCACCCCCAAAAGGCCACTATGGCCGGAGCTATGCCGATCTGAAGCCAGGATCCAGGTGCTTCCTCCTGGTCTCCCATGCAGGTACAGGCACCCAAGCACTTGGGCCATCCTCCACTGCCCTCCTGGGCCACAGCAGAGAGCTGGACTAGAAGAGAAGCAGGCGGGACTAGAACCCAGTGCCCATCACACTAACAGTTTTCAAATACCTTGGTTCTTTAATAACTTCAGGGACTATTTTCTTATTCCCCTTTAAGTCTGTTTATCAGGAAGATAATTTCAGCATCTTCAAGGAGCTTCAACATGGATACAAGTTGGTATTTCAGAGATAATATCTGACCTTTTTTTTGTAAATTCCAAAAATGTTAACTTCTCTTGCTCAAGTTGTTCAGAGTTTGGAGCACATGGGGAAAAACTATGAATCACAGGGAATTTGCTGATGGCAGCCTGCACCTCACGTGATCTCACTTAGTCCCTAGAACTCTCAGCCCTTCCTCCCCCTCCCCGTCGTCCCTGCTGTTTGCCTGCCAGTCAAGCTTTGGAGATTAACATGAGAACATCAGGAAACTAAGGATTCCATCTCCTCACACTGACAAACAGTGGTCTCTTTCTCACACCGGATTTCCTACCCTGAAACAAGATTTCCAAGCTCTGGTGGGAGTCCTTCCCAGACCTGCCCTGGGGCAGATCTTATTTCACAGTAGGAATGCAAACAGCACATTTGCCCCAGTTTTTCTCTCTGTAGCGAATTTAGGTCTCTGGCTGGATTAAGATCTTTGGTTACATCAAATTTCTAGTTGGCAGAGAACCAGACCTGTTTTTTCAAAGAGAACATTGTCATGGAAAATATTTTTAAAAGTGGATGTAATTTGGCCTAAAGCAGCTGTTTTTGGGAGGTGGGCTATAGGTTGGCATAGGACAAGAGCAGCAGGATCTTTATCAAAATCACTTTTTTCTCTCCACAGCAGTGATAAAATGCTCTTCAGTATGTCAGACAGCTGTTTTGGAATGCAAACCACACGCATCCTTGAAAACCTCAGCGGATAACCTATCTCAAAAAAAGGAAACATTCAAAATGGCAAGGTCTGTCGGACAACAAGATGATACTTCCTCAAACAGCAAGAGCTGGATTTCTGATCATGGTGGGGTGCCCTCAACCTGGAGCCTGATGAGTGATGGGTTGGATCCACAAAACCAGTGGCCTACATCTAATTCAATAGTTCAAGGAACAACTCCTTACTGACCCGTGTCAGAGGCAGGTGTCAGGAGTCTTCAGAGTCAAGGGCAAGGTATTGAATCTGGAAGTCCACTGAAGGCTTCTCGTGAGGGTGTTCATACCCATCTGTCTCTTATTAACTGTGTGGTCTAGGCAAGGTTCTCAGTTATAAACAGGCCTAATAGCAACACCAATCATTGCATTATTGTGAGGATAAAATATGGAACAATCTTGGACCAGTTACATAAGCCTGAAAGATGTACTCTTTCTTCCCTCCTCTCTCTGAATCCTTGAGAGTGCTTCTCTGATCCAAAGGCTTTTATCTAATGCTGCATTTATTAGACTGGACTCTCTGGCTTTCAAAAGACAGAAATTAACTCAAATTATATAAACAGGAAAGGATTCATTGAAGTGTCTGAGAAAGATGAGATTAGGAATGAGAGACTTGACTGTTCAAATGAAGCTGTCATCTCCCTCCTCCTTCACTCTCTCTCCCTTAGCTCACTCACTGGCAGTGAGTGAAAAGCTATGAAAATGAAAGCTGTGTGCATTCATTCTCTGCTTCCATAGACTGTCTTTACACACAAAATGGCTGTCAGTGAGTCCAGATCCACATTCTTACAACAGACAGCACATGCATGGAATGGCTTCCCCTTGGAACTTTACAGAACATTCATGGAAAGAACCGAAGTTGGTTTGGTTTCCACCTATATGTTCTCATCTGTAGACAAGGGGGCATCTATTAAGGGAAGAAGCAAGGAGGTTGGGCAGAGGAAACAGTAGCTGGTAAAACCCAAGGATTCATATGTGACAATGAGATGAACTGTATTCTTTTATGTGACTATGAAGAAATACCTGAGGCAGGGTACTTCATAAAGAAAAGAGGCTCATTTATCTCATGATCTGTAGGTTCAAGAATATGGAGCCATCATCAGCTTACCTCTTGTGAGAACAACATGGAAAATGACATCATGGTAGGAGCAGGTGTAAGAGGGAGAAATCATAAAGTGATAAAAGAAGCTGGAGAGAGAAAGGGACATCAAGGACTGACTTGGGTCCCACAAGACTATATAATCCCTCAAGGACACAACCCCAGTGACCTCAGGACCTCACATAAGGCCCTACTGCCTAAAGGTCCCACCACCTCTTAACAACACCATGCTGAGGATAAAGCTTCCAAAACATGAACCTTTGGGGGAAACATTTAAACCATATTCAATGCATAGCGTCCACTACCCATAGCCAATCAGTGCTCATCTATGAAGCAAGGTGAGGGATTTTCACCCATCACCAGTCAGAGCTCACCTGTGAGGTGAGGTGAGTGACCTCACCCATCACCAGTCAGGGCCCATCTCTGAAGACTACCTGACAGCCAGAGTGTTCTCACATGTTCCTCTTTAGTGGAATCCTAGATCTCAATCACATCTGAGCTCTACAGCCACAGCTTCACATCTTCAACTTCACCTGCAGGCCATTTCTTTGTCTTCGCTCTTCTGCGGTAGGTTGGCCTGCAGAAGGCAAGAGATCCATTTTCAAATATTGCACTGCACCTTTTACACTCAGAACATATATCCTTACCAAGTTCCTTGAGTCATTGTCTTCTGTGGGCCTCCAGGAATCAAAGCAAAACTACTTTTCTGTTATCCCAAGCAGCAATCTACTGTGCATCCTACTGGCATTTGGGGCCTGATGGTAGCAGGTGCATTGCAGAAAGTAATGGGAAACACTGAAGGCAAACACTGCAGGTTTGCATGATTCTTGTGAGCAGAGAACTTGGTCCATTGTTTTTGTATTTATCTGTAGTATGGGTGTGAGTGTGCCAGCACCCCCAACCCCCACCCTGGCCAGTGCAAAATGTGAAGCCCCAAGTACTCTAGCTGGCTGTAAATCTTAGGGATGAAAAGAAACAGCCTGATTTCAGTGAACCAAATAAATAAAAGGTTTAGATTGAGCTCCATCTGACCTGACCTCTGTCAGCAAAAGGCTATGCTTCAAATTTACTGTATTAGGATGACGAGACACCTGGGATGATTGTCACTATTAGTGGAAGACTGAGGTTATAAAAAAAAGTCATAACTTTTCAGACCAAATTGATTTAGCAATTTTTAATCTAAAGGCAAAAATAATCACAGAAGGAGCTGTAAGTATGGTATGTGGTAACTAGACAGGCTGAGGTGAGCTGGAATTCTTGCAGCCCTGTCATGTAATGTTTATCTCTTTAACTGTCAGCTTCATATGTCCACCTTTCCAGGATGCACCTGTGCCTCATCCAGGACCAGGACACATGTTAAGACTCACTCTGTATGTTTATGCGATTAAGAAGATGTCTCATTTCACCATAGACCATACTTGGAGGTACTGCTCTCTTTCTCTCTCTCTGTCTCTCTTTAAGTAACCCTCTGATCCACTCATGGGCATTTCTCCACATGCTGTGGCACACATATACATGTGAATGTAGTATTTCCTCTCACTGTTAAATAAATCATATTCTCGCTTATTATGCTATATGTATAAATGGATGCCTCTGTTTTGAATTCTTATCTCTGTGGAGGCAAGGACCTGGAATAAAAATTAAGATACACAGGCCCATATCAAGTAGGGGAAGTAGGAAACCAAAATTCCTGAGAGGCAGCCCAGCCTGTCTTTAGGAGAACATGAATTCAGGTGTAGCACTTCGAGAACTCTAAGAGGACACTCCTGGGAAAAGCCATTCACCAAGGTAAAAAGGAAAGAAGTCCTTGAAGTTGGCAAGCAATTAAAACATTTAAGAAGTTTTCATTGCTTTCAAAATACAAAAATTTTAGAAAAGATGAAAAAAATCCCCATCAAAATATTTTTTCATTATAATGAGAAATTAAAATACATTTTTAAAATCTAGTTACTCATTTGTTTATTTACTATTGTTGCCTTCTCTGTCAGTAGTTTCTAAGGTGAGAGACCTCCAAAATGTAGAATCACATTGAGTCACATGTACATATCCAATATTTCCAAGAGGATCTCCTTATCATCTACTGCTTGGAAATAAATATTTTGTTCATTTCCATTGACTCATCCATCAGTTGTCAACAAATACCTAATGCTCTGGTTGTTCTGTCCTGGCCCCTGGCTCCTCTGGATAACTTGAGTCAAGTGTTACACCAGTTTTTTCAGGCTGTCTTAACAAAGTACCATCAGCTGGGAGTTTAGACAGTAGGGACGCATTGTCTCACAGTCTGGAGGTAAGAAGTTCAACATAATGGTGTTGGCAGAGTTTGTTGCTACAGAGGCCTACAAGGAAGAATCAGCTCCAGGCCTCTTGGCTTCTGGTGGCTTTCCGGAAATCTGTGGAGTCCTGAGCCTTGTGGTAGAATCAGCCGTGTCCTCCTTGCATGCCTCCTATGTCCAAATGTCCCACTTTCATAAGGTCACCATGCATACTGGACAAGGGGCCACCCTACTCCAGTGTGACCTCATCATAACTAATTCCATCTGTAACCACCTTATTTCTACACAGGGTCACAGTGTGAAATACTGGGTGCAAGGACTTCCACCTAGGAATTTTGGAAGAGATACAGCATAACTCATCACAGCACCTTTGGAAAGAATGGAATAGATTTGTGAAAAAATATGTAAATTGATGATAGCAGCACTTTGGAGATAGTTTTAGTGCAACTAAAGTGTTTCGTTATTATAGTATCTTTTGAGTATTTCCTTTGATTTTAAGAAATTACGAGCATGTATGAGCAACTGATATATTTTACTTTTGAGAAATGTAAGTTTCAGTTGCTTTTTAAATACTTCAAGATGTATTATTTATTAAAGTCATATATCTTGTGTATTCTTTTTATAAACAGTATGAGTGGATTTGGAATGATTTCAATGAATTTAAAAATGAGAAATTGAATATTAGAAAAATGATAGTGAATGTTCCTTTCCATAAAAGAAACCCACATAGACAATAATGAATGTTAACAGAGGGCTGCTGCAAAAGTCTCAACACACAATATCATTAAGTCCTCGAATTTCCCTCCTTGCTTCTCAAATCTCAGGATAACAAGAGCTGTCATGTGTAATTTTGTGTCCTAAGCTAAACATGATAGAAGGTGGGACCTGGAAGTAGAGAGTGAAGAACTTTGAATGTTAAGCTAAGACCAATGTTTAAATATATTTTTTTAAAGATTTATTTATTTATTTGAAAGATAGAGTACAGAGGAGAGAGGGAAGGACGGAGGAAGGGAGAGAGAGAGAGAGAAAGAGAGAGACAGATCTTCCACCTGCTAGTCACTTCTCAAATGGCAGCAATGTTTGGGACTGGGCCAGGATGAAGACAGGAACCCAGGAGCTTCTTCTGGGTTTTCCAGGTGGTTCAGGGGTCCAAGGACTTGGGCCATCTTCCACTGCTTTCCCTGGCATTTTAGCAGGGAGCTGGAACAAAAGTGGGGCTGCTGGGACTTGAACCAATATACATAAGGGATGCTGGCACTGCAACACTGCAGACAGTGGCTTATACCACTGTGCCACAGCACAGGGCCCATCAAACATCTTTTAACTGTAGGACTTTTTGTGCAAATAATAACTCCCTTGTAAACTCAATCTACGAGATACATTCAAACTGACATTCTCTCCTATTATTGAGGCAGTATTTCCTGTGTCTCAGAAACACCTGGAAATAATTTGTAAGATATAGGATCATGGGGCTGGTGCTGTGGAGTAGAAGGTAAGGTTGTCACCTGCAGTGCCTGAATCCCAAGTGAGTGCTGGTTCAAGTCTTAGCTGCTCCCCTTACAATCCAGCTCTCTGCTAATGGCCTGAGAAAGCAGTAGAAGATGACCCAACTCCTTGGACCCCAGTACTCATGTGGGAAACCAGGCAGAAGCCCCTGGCTCCTGGCTTCTGATTGGCCCAGCTCTGGCTGTTATTGACATTTGGGAAGTGAGTCAGCAGATGAAATACCTCTCTCTCTCTTTTTCTCTCTCAATGCCTCTGCCTCTCTGTAACTCTGCCTTTCAATAAATAAATAAGTTTTTTTGGCCGGCACCGCGGCTCACTAGGCTAATCCTCCGCCTAGCGGCGCCGGCACACCGGGTTCTAGTCCCGGTTGGGGTGCCAGATTCTGTCCCGGTTGCCCCTCTTCCAGGCCAGCTCTCTGCTGTGGCCAGGGAGTGCAGTGGAGGATGGCCCAGGTGCTTGGGCCCTGCACCCCATGGGAGACCAGGAAAAGCCTCTGGCTCCTGGCTCCTGCCACCGGATCAGCGCGGTGCGCCGGCCGCAGCGCGCCGGCCGCGGCGGCCATTGGAGGGTGAACCACCGGCAAAAGGAAGACCTTTCTCTCTGTCTCTCTCTCTCACTGTCCACTCTGCCTGTCAAAAAAAAAAAAAAAAAAAAGTAAAAAAAAAAATAAGTTTTTTTAAAAAAGATATATGGTCATTGGGGTGGACATTTCACATTGTTGGTTAGGATTTCCACGTCCCTCATTGAAGAGGCTGTTTTAGATTCCTGGCTCTGGCTACTGACTCTAGTTTCCTGCTGAAATAGATCCAAGGGGGCAGTGGTGGTGGCTCAGCTGGTTGAATTTTGCCACCCACATGGGAGACCTGGATTGGGTTCCCAGCTCCAAGTTTTGGCCTTGGCTCAGTTCTGGCTATTGAGGGCATTTAGGAATGAACCAGCAGATGGGAGCGCTCTCTCTCTCTCTCTCTCTCTCTCTCTCAAATAAATGAATAACAAAAAGAGACAAAGAGACAAAGACTCATAGCCTTACATCAGATTCAGAAGTTCAGTATTGGGGTCCCACGATTTGTATTTCAGCAAACCTCTCAGCATATTTCAAATATAGACTGAAGTTTGAGAATTGCTTCATCAGTTTAATGTGTCTCTGGCACAGACTTGCCCTAGCCCATGTTATACTCAGAATCCTGGCTTCAGATTCTGCTTTCTCTACTTAGTAGCTTTTTGTCTGGGGCATAGTACTACTCTCACTACCTCACTGCTGTTATCAGAGCTCAGTTAAACAATGTGCATAAAACCGTGAGTGTAGGGTCCAGTAGTGTTTAGTGCTTAGTGTATGTTTATCAATATTAGGATATTTACCGCTATTCCTACTATTACTCTTATCATGACTTATAGGATTGCTTAGGAGAATTATAAATCCTCACTAAGTAAATGAATCCTTGCTTCTGCTACTCCTAAAGTCTTTGGGTTGGCACTCCACCTGTGGTAGCAGCATCCCATGTCAGTGCCGTTTTGTGTCCCAGCTGCTCCTCTTCCAATCCAGCTCTTTGCTGTGGCCTAAGAAAGCAATAGAAATCCCTGGGCCCCTGCATCCATGTGGGAGACCTGGCCTCTTGCTTTGGATCAGCCCAGCTTCAGCCTTTGCGACCATTTGTGCAGTGAACCAGCACATGAAAGACCTTTCTCTCTGTCTCTCCCTCTCTGTGTCTGTAGCTCTAAGTCTCAATTAAATAAACAAAATCTTAAAAAAAAAGTCAGCATGTTTTCCTTGGGAAATATATTGCACTCCATCTCACCTGCAGCTTGCGTGCCTACTTTTATCTCTTTTAGTCTATGACTCACATTTTAACCATGGTAGTTTACTTTGACCACTTTTTGCCAGTTGATGGGTGCTATGATTTTTTTCCTTGTTTTTAATAAGGATTTGCCTCAGTATCAATTTTTTTTTTCTGTTTTAATTTGAAGGAGAGAGAAAGCACTCTCCCATCTGCTGGCTCATTCCCAAATGCCTGCAAAATCTGGGAATAGGCCAAGGCCGAAGCCAGGGGAAGGGAATTCGATCCAAATCTACATGAGTATCAGGGATATAGTTATTTGAGCCATCACCACTGCCTAACAGCAGCCTCATTAGTAGGAAGCTGGAATCAGGAACCAGACAGGGAATTTAGACCAGGCACTTCAATATGGAACATAGGCATCTTATCCAGTGTCTCAATCATAGACCGAAGACCTGCCACAAGGAGTTATGGTTTCAATATGATTTGTCCTCTCCAAACCTAATGTTGGGGTTTAATACCCAAGTGAAATATTAATAGTGGCAACTTAATTGGATGATGGAGTTTAGAGGAGAAGTCTTCAGGATATGTTAGGATTAGATAAGATCATTCATTAGAGTGTAGCCCCTATGTTTGAATCCTAGTGTCTTTATAAGAAACGAGAGATTAGAACAAATCCACACACATATGTGTGCACTCCCTGTCCCTCACCATGTGATGTTCATTGTTACCTCAGAACTCTGCCAACAACAAGGCCATCACCAACTATGGTTCCTTGACCTTGGACCAGAAAAGTAAGTCCAAATAAACCTCTTTTCTTTATAACTTACCCAA